CTGGGGCGGGGTCTTCTTCATCCGCCTCTTCCTTCCCAAACGTCCTCTCGTTGTGACATAATCACGACCAAGGTATTGGACCCTTTCTGGCCTCCGGGGCACTCCCGCGGCCGTCGGCAGAAAGAGTGAGGATTGAAGGCCAGACCCCCGGAAAGGGTCCAGAAATCTGGGGGGGGCCCGCTGTGAAAGGAGGAGGAGGCAGCAGGAGAAGGGGGGGGAGAAGGGAGGTGGGAGGAGACGGAACAAGAGGCAAAGGGCTGGCAAGGGGAGGATGCGGGACAATGAGGACCCAGCAGAGGGCCCTCGCCGGGCCCCGGGGCCAGGACGGAGAAGGAACAAGAGGCGCAGGGCTGCGAGGGAGAGGATGCGGGACGGTGGGAGCCCTGGGGCCATCAGAACACCACTCGGGCAGCAGAGTCGGTCCCTGGGCTGGGGTCCGAACCTCTGGGGGACCACGCCGTGAGCAAACACCACGACGCCGGGTGTCTGGGACCCACTGCCCCCCTTTTGCCCGCCCGCTCGGCGAGAGGAGCACGAGGAGAAGGAGGAGGAGGAGGAGGAAGAGGGGGAGAGGGAGGAGGAGGAGGAGGATGAAGAGGCGGAGAGGGAAGAGGAGGAGGGAAAGGAGGAGGAGGAGGAGGAGGAGGGGGAGGGGGAGGAGGGGGAGGATGAGGGGAAGGAGGAGGAGGGAGAGGAGGAGGAGGAGGAGGAGGACCGACGACCTGGAAATCGGGCGGGTCCTTACACGGGGCGTGTGGCCGACGGGAAGTGGTCGTTGCCGCAGGGCCAACGCGTGATCGGCCGAGAGCCTGCTCGAAAAGGACGAGGAGTTCCGCACCTAAACTGTTTTGCATAGTGGAGGCCAGTCCACAAGAAACCTTCAACGAGAAACCCAGCCCTGAGACCCCAGGACGCCCATCGATTCTCGGTGTGGGAACGTCACGCTCTCCACGGCAAGACCATCGAAACCCGAGAAACCCAGGGCACCCTGGAGGCAAGTTGGCTGTTTCTTGGCATGGGTCTCCACTGCCAGGAATTACCTAAAATGTAGTACGCCGTGCACCTTTGTGGCAAGCCAGCATGGGGCGGCGGATGATGGAGAGCGCGCGTAACGCGCGCTGCGTTAGCCAGAAGAGGTGAAACTATGGGGAGTTTGAGGGGGTGCGCAAGCCTCGCCTGATGGATGACGCAAGGGGGGAGTGTGAGGGGGTTGGCTTCGGCGGCCCCAGATCCAATGTCACAAATTTGGGGCATGTTCAGCACTCGATTGCCCAAGTCAGCCCAAAGATCGCCTCTGAGGGCCCCAAGATGGCTCAAGACGGCCCCAAGAGCGTCCAAGCTACCGCCACGACGGCCTCAGGGAAGCCCAAGAGGGCCCCAAGACGGCCTGAGAGCGCTCAGAGAGGGCCCAGGATGGCCGCAAAACGGCCAAAGAGGCCCTCAAAATTATCCACGAGGCCTCCGAAAGAACGCCCAAGAGGCAAAAATCGTCCAGTTCCCCTGGGAAACTCACGTGTTTAGCAGATCTGCTTCTTTAGTCTTCATAGGATCCACGACGGCTTAAAAGGACCCCCCCAAGACGGCACAAGATGCCCTCCAAGACGGCCCCAAAACGGCCCAAGAGGGCTCCAAGACGGCACCGGAAAGCCCCAAGACGGCCCACGAGAGGCCCCTGGGGGCTCCAAAGGTTACCAAGAGAGCCCCCAAAGGGCCCCTGGAAAGTCCCCCAGAGAGCCCCGAGAAGGCCCCCCCAGCCGGCCCATGGCCCCAAGACGGCCTCAGAGGGCCCCAGGACGACCCAAGAGGGTCCCAAGACAGCCCAAGGGAGCCCCAAACAGGACTCCAAGGAAGGGCTGGAGACGCCACAGTCATTAATTCTCGCAAGGTTGTTTGCGAGTTGTTTATCTGGGGTGCCAAAGTCTTCACACTAAGAGGGCTCCGAGACTCTGATTAAGCGATCTCGCGCCCTTGCAGAATACGAGCGCTTCCGTCCACGTGCCAAGCAGGTCGAGTGGCCACAATGGCGATTTCGCTTGGGAGGTCCACCATACATTGAGATGTCTCAGGATCGCTCGCATAAAGCTTCAAGACGGCCCAACATAGCCCAACGATATGGCTGCAACACGCCTTACTTCCAACCCCCCGGGATGCCGAATTCGCTACGGGCATCCTCAAACAAATGAATTGTGGTCGACCCCGCTATTGCCCCAAATGGCTATTTCGCTAGGGACAGCCTCACAAAAATGAGGTGTCGTCGACGTCGTCTTCGTCACGGTCTTGCCCCACATGGCAATTTTTTTTTTTTGAGGGGAGGAGTGGGAGCGAACACCACAGAGTGACGACAACCTCGGCGACTAAGGCACCATGCACCGAAGCTAGATCACATGCCGTGCCCTCGAGAAATATTAAAGCGTCAAGCCATGAAGAATGGCTGTCCTGCGTGCAATGGCTGTGTAAACGGAAGCTTTGCGGCAGCAGGCGCAAACCAGATAGGAAGGAATGCGAGAAAGCCAAATACTGAGAATCCAGAGGCGCTGGATGCGGATACGGGTGAACCGCAGCGTGCACCACGAGAGGGAGGAGGAGGAGGAGGAGGAGGAGGAGGAGGAGGAGGAGGAGGAGGAGGAGGAGGAGGAGGAGGAGGAGGAGGAGGAGGAGGAGGAGGAGAGAAAGCACCAAGCTGGAGCAAAGAATCACCATGCGAATGCAGGCTGATACAACAGCGTCCCAGATTGTATCAGTGGCGCCTGGAGGGCAGAGGGGAACAGGAGGAGGACACCAAGGAGCTATACAGCGCGCGAGTGAAATGCCGATCATCCCTAACACTCCCCTGGCTTCTGAAGGCGGCCCTACCGCAAATGAAACTGGCCAAGTGGTTGGCGAAGATGGCCGGAATTGCTGGACAGGACGGGCTAGGGGCGACTCCCTGACTTGGGAGCGGCCGGCGAGACCGGGCGGCCCAGCATCAGCCACCAACGCTTGCAACCGGCGCGAGCGCCAATTTCCGCACGAAGGGCGAATCCTCGCCCCTCGCGCACTGCGCGCACCCCATCCTCCAGCAGACAGCTTGTCCTGAGCAGGGGGCTCCAGCATTCGGGGGCGAGTGAGGAAGAGAGGAGGGAGGGGGAGGCGGAGGACGGAAGAGGAGGAGAAGAGGACACACCAACCTCGGGGACCAGCCTCCAGGCGAGGATCGGCCGGTACACCCAAAAACATCGGGGACCAGCTTCCATTCGAGGATAAGCCGGTACGCCAGAAGAAAACGAAGCATGCGCCGTAACGGTCTGGACGGTTAGGAGGTGCAGCAAAAGGAGCGCGTGGCAACCTAAACGGTCGCACGGCCGAGGGAGGAGACACCCCTCTCGGCGCTGCGAGGAACCTCCGAACACGGGGCTATTGCCCAAATTTGGCCGCTGCCGCCGGTGTAGGCGGTGGGCGTGACGGTCTGGACTGCCTACGCTTGCATCAAGCGAGGGAGGAGGGGGGGGGAGGGGGGAGAGGGGAAAAAAAAGGAAGTGTGGTGATACATGCCTCTGCTACTCACGTCTCGATGCCGCGTCCCAGAGGGCACCCCGGAATGCGCCATCCACCTGCTCGTTGGTGATGCGCCCGTGCCGTAAAGAATTGTAGACCCGATAAAAAGCATACAGAGCTTTGCCGCGCGCGGCGGCCTCCGCCTCCCGCTCGCCCAAGCCGAAGAGACAGTCCAGCTCCCTCCCCGCCGGCGGCGGCGCCAGCCCGGCTCTGGAGGTGAGGAACTGCCGCACCACGGGGCAGAACGCGAAGTGCTCCAAGCCGTCCGGTCGGCGGCCGCACCCAAATAGACAGGGCGCCTGCCCATGGGAGCAACGGCTCGGGCACCAACCGCCGCAGAGGGCCCGCAAGTAGGCTGCAGTGACCCGGGGAGCGCAGCCGCTTACCACGAGCTGCAGCCGCTTCAGCGCCCTGTGTAGCCTGTGCCCAGGGAGAGTGGCGAGCGGCCAACGGTTCAAACGGCGACGCAGATGGAGCCGAGCTGACGCGTCGCCCTGCTCCTGACACATGTAAGCCACCCGGCTCTGCCAGCCCGCTTGTGTCGACAACCGCGCTGTGTCGGGAGGCAACTGCGCCAACTTGCTGTGCACCTGGCGGTCAGCCGCCGCGAGCTGGAACAGGAAGCATCTCGAGCGCCATCGCTTCTGCCAGGCCTCGCGGCCCAGCGCGTGGTCGTCCCCGTGACTGGTCATCGCTGCCATGCGCGCAGCACGCCGGTGCACGTCAAGACGCGCCCCCCGTCCCCAAATCGGACCACCCGCGCCTTGGCGGCAATGGCCGTCGCCGCCACGTCCTTTAACTGCCAGGTAACGTGGATGGTCTTGAGGCTCTTCAAGCAGTCGGCCGGCATCCAGCCCAGAGGACCAGGAAACAGAGCCGCGCAGGCACGCTGCTCCGCTGCCGCGAAGCCGGGCGGCAACTCGTCGAGCTGGGCGACGAAGGGGAGGACCGACGACGCGTAGATGCTGTAAGCCTGCGCGGTGAGGAAGGCGCCAGCTCCGATTCGCCTCCAGACACGCGCCCGCTCGACGTACTTGGCTAGAGGGGCATCCCACGTGCGCTGCCCTCGGTCGGGCCCCAGATAGAAGCCTAAATATTCCGCTGTGCCGCAAATGCCCAAACTGCCCCAACTCGGAACCGCCGCCGCCAGCTCCCTCCGGAAGCCCAGCTCAGTGAACGGGTCGAGGGGGGCCAGCACTGTCTTCGGGACGTGAGGCGCAGCCCCGAAATTCTGGCAAATTCGGCGAAGAAGGCCTCCAGGCCCGCGAGCCTCGGCAGCGCGCCCGGCAGCACCATTGCCAAGTCGTCGGCCAAGGCTCGGAGCGTGGCGTCCGGGAAAAGCCGGGGGAGCCTGCGCAGGTAGAGGTCCGACACCGCAGCGAACAGTAGTGGAGATAATGGGCAACCCTGGCGAATCCCCCTCGTGATCTCCATGCCAGCGTGCACCGATCCGCCGAGCGCGATCT